AAAATAAGCTAGACACAAACAGAGAAATGCTGTATGATTCCTTTTGTATGAAGTCCAGAGAATAGGCAATTCATAAAGACAAAGTAGAACAGAGGCTACCAGGGAATGCGGGGAGGGGAGAATGGGGAGTTAGTATTTAATGGGTACAGAGTTTCTGTTTGGGATGATGAAAAGTTCTGGAAATGAATAGTGGTGATGGTTGTGCAACACTGTGAATGTAGTTAATGCCACTGAAGTGTACACTTGAAAATGGTTAAAAAGGTAGGCCAGGCGCAGTGGCTCATGTCTCTAATCCCAGCACTTCAGGAGGCCAAGGTAGGTGGATCACCTGAGGCTGGGAGTTCGAGACCAGCCTGACTAACACAGAGAAACCCTATCTCTACTAAAAATACAAAATTAGCCAGACGTGGTGGCGCATGCCTGTAATCCCAGTTACTTGGGAGGCTGAGGCAGGAGAATCACTTGTAACCCAGGAGGCAGAGATTGTGGGTAAGCCAAGACGGCGCCATTGCACTCCAGTCTGGGCAACAAGAGCAAAACTCCGTCTCAAAAAAAAAAAAAAAAACAGTAAACTTTATGTTATGTATATAACAATTTTTAAATATACTCCAGGCCAGGCACAGTGGCTCATGCCTGTAATCCCAGCACTTTGGGAGGCCAAGGCGGGTGGATCACGAGGTCAAGAGATCGAGACCATCCTGGCCAACATGGTGAAATCCTATCTCCATTAAAAATACAAAAGAAAAAAAAATTAACTGGACGTAATGGCACGCGCCTGTAGTGCCAGCTACTTGAGAGGCTGAGGCTGAGGCAAAAGAATCGCTTGAACCCGGAGGTGGAGGCTGCAGTGAGCTGAGATCACACCACTGCAATCCAGCTTGGCGACAGAGGGAGACTCTTCTCAAAAACAAACAATACTCCAGCATCTCCCCCACCTCAAAAAAAAAGCACGATAGAGACAAGATTACCAAAAAGTTGCTAAGTGTGGAAGCTGGATTAAGGATACCAGGTTGGGGCGGGGCAGGTAACAAAATACATGTAACTTTCACATATCCTGGGAAGGTCATGTATCTAACTATTTTATTGATTAAAGTTCATAATCAAAAAAGTTTGAAGATCCTTGCTTGAAGTTTAGACAGCCTGAAAGAAATCATGGAAATACAATATCATAACTTCAGGGGTTAAGTAATCTACTGATCAAACTTTGTTCAGGGGCAAACAATCTTCTTTTAAAATAAAATCTTACTGGCCGCGCATAGTGGCTCATGCCTATAATCCCAGATCGCCTGAGGTCAGGAGTTTGAGACCAGCCTGGCCAACAAGATGAAACCAACCGGTCTCTACTAAAAATACGAAAATCAGCCGCGTGTGCTGTCGGCACCTGTAATCCCAGCTACTTGGGAGGCTGAGGCAGGAGAATCGCTGGAACTTGGGAGGTGGAGGTTGCACTGAGCCAAGATGGCACCACTGCACTCCAGCCTGGGTGACACAGCAAGATTGTCTCAAAATAAATAAAACAGATAAAATAAGGGAAGTATTTATGAATATGTATCATTGATAGTAATTCAAAACCTTTCTGGAATTTGCCAGGAAATAATCTAAAACAAAACAAAAAAAACCCTCACTGACTTTTAAAATGTGCCTTGCTCCCCTCTGCTCTCCCTCGAGGTCAGGTGGGGTAAATCTGAACCACTAGATACACACAGAAGCTTCCTTTAAAGTCAGTGTTTTCACTGGCCTCAAAAAGAAAGACAAATAATCAGGGGTTAGAAATAGAAACTAGGCAGTAGACTGCAAAAGGATTGATTTGTTTTTTTTAACATTCTTCCAATCTCCAAACTCCAACTATTAAAAAAACAGGCAGAGCTGAAAAAAATGACTAAAGTTTTCCCTTTCTTCTACATTTCCCCCCAGAAGTTTAAAATATATCCCTGCAATTATTTATCAACCCTAAAAATTTAACGAAGTAACTCTATAAAAACTGTTTAAGATGTGAAAATGACTTTAAATATTAAAAGACGAGCTATTCACTTTGTCTTTGATTTCTAACAAGTGTATGTGGAAAGGACATATAAGGCTCCTCCTTTATATCAGAGCTCTGGGATTCTCCAAAAGAGCCAACTAGAAAAGAGGCCATTTAACCGGGCACAGTGGCTCACGCCTGTAATTCCAGCACTTTGGGAGGCCGAGGCGGGCGGATCACAAGGTCAGGGGGAGTTCGAGACCAGCCTGGCCAACATGGTGAAACTCCACCTCTACTAAAAATACAAAAATTAGCCGGGTGTGGTGGCACGCGTCTGTAGTCCCAGCTACTTGGGAGGCTGAGGCAGGAAAATCTCTTGAACCTGGGAAGCAGAGGTTGCAGGGAGCGAGATAGTGCCACTGCACCCAGCCTGGGTGACAGAGCAAGACTCCATCTCAAAATAAAGAAATAAATAAAAAGAAAAGAGGCCATTTAGTAAACAGGTATTCAGAGGGCCACTATGAGCCCTGCTCTGCTAGAACCAGATACTACTACTACATTATCCCGGTCATACTCACAATATTCTTGGCCAACAGACAGAATCATGCCCATTTCACAGATGAGGTTCGGGGAAATCAAGTCTCTTGCCCAGTGACAGAGCTAGTAAGTGGCAAGGCTGGGAAGGCATCTCAGAGCTGTCAGACCC